TATCCTGGATTTCACTCATGCATCCCCACATAACTTTATGTGAAATACTTAATATTCTGGGCATAAAGCACTAAAGGAGTATGTTTCCATCAGATTAGCAGAAAGACCTTTACTAACAGTACTAAGTGCTTCTGGCAAACTATACACATCCCTAGGTCTCAGCAGCCACTGCTAGGAGTCAGACAAAACTTGTGGTTTTTTTGTTGTTGTTTTTGCTCTCATCCCTCTGGAACAATGAAATTCAGGAAAGCTCACAGTTATTGTGGTCATAAGCCTTCTAACGAAAGTCCTTCTGTTATCCATAAACACCAAAGAGGGGGCAAAACAAGTAGGACAAAGTTCCATGCAAGATATACAAAAATAGCTTTTTGCTGTAGTAGTTATTGATGAGCTATTATGTAGATGCAAGATTTATTCTATGTGCCACTACAGTGGCAAGTTCCAGAAATACAGACTGCAGAGCTGCATTCCAGCCATGTGTATTGCTCCCCATGCTGTTCTCATCTTTAACTGCTGAATGTTATATCTCAGCCCGACTCAGATGACGCAGGATTCAAAACTTGGAGCTACCTCTGTAAAACCTGGTCTTTACTTTCTGAATCTATGATAGTAGAAAATTATACTTGCAGAATCAAATATTGATAAGGGCTAACATTAAAACTTCTATTTCATTCTTGATCTAAATGCTGTGCATTTAGCAGCATAGCATGCTGCTAGTTGACATTCATACAAAAAAAAAAAAAAATCAAGAAAGAGAACAGTTTCTTGCTTTTAACAATGAACCCCATATGCAGAAGAGCCCTTTCTACTGGCTAACCTGCTTATTTTGATCCAGTTGTAGAAGGGTCCTGCAGAACGCAGGAATAAGACAGCTTGTGTGCATGCATACACACACAACTAAATTGCATTAACAGTGCACATTTTGCAGTCTATCATTTCTAAACTTATCAGAGTTTGACTTCTTTTCCCGATGCAAAATTGTTTGGCTGAACATTTGGAGCACGGATTCATTTTCAGAAAACAGAACCAGCTTTAATTGCCTTAACTCTACATTGACGCAACCCAACAGAAGCATGGAACAGCTCTGTCACACAAGGAATAGTAATGACTTCAGATCACTGGAACCTTACACGACATAAGTACAGTAGGTAAAAAAAAGTGGTATTTTGGTAACAGCAGACATGACCATTGGCTGCAAAGCACCAGTCTCAAATTCTGTTTTTAGCTTCTGTCCAATCCTTGCATGCAGATACACAAAGCATCTATGTACAAACACATGCAGACTTGAGAAGCTGAACAGGTTTCCATATGCCACACGAAATGTAAGATTCTAATCCAAGCTCACAAAAACCTATTTTGCCTGTTTACAGTGATGTACTATAGGCCAGAGAACAACAGGATGAGCTGTTACTTCATAACAATATGCAACGTACAGAAGGAAAAGTGTTACACACAATTTTATTTACAAAAGCCTTAAGTACTTAAAATAAGTAAATAAACGAATTTGTTATATTATAGCAAGCTGTAAAAGAGCAGCATCTTAAAGGGTGTGTCTTTTACAGTTAACAAAGACTAGAAGAGAGCACATGACTTTTCAGGTCAGCTCAAGTTTTACAAAACGCCACTGTGTCACGTACAGAATTAAGTTGGTTCTTTAAATTTTGACAAACAGCAATCCTGAAACAGCACATATTTGACAGAAGCCAGGCACACCAGAGTATCAAGGTGGTACTTCCAAAGAATATCACCAGACACATTTAGACATCTCCACATCTTCATCTAACCCATAACCCACCAATCACTAAGTAGCCTGCAAGAGTAGCTAAACAAAGAAAGCGATGGTAGTATGACATCTTCCATTTAATTTCTGTTACACATGCACCACACTGAAAATATTTAATTAGGTACAGAATTTCCAAATGCTGTTTGTCTGCATTTTGATGAACTGCAATTTTTACTCAAATGCACAAGTAATCATCTCATAAGAAATGAGTCACTCACCACTTCCTGGCATAATAAGATTAAAATCAAACTAAGTTCTATCTGTCGAAGAAACACAAGTAAAAGTTCGTAAAGCATCCTGCTTAGTAAGAGAATACTAAGTAATACACATTTTCGCAGTTTAAATAAGCAAGAATGTACTTCTCAGTTACTTCCCTGGAGACCTGAATATAGAGTCACTAATCATCATTTCACTTACATCCTATCTGAAAATGAGGAAATTAAAGCTGTTGACTGGAAAAAGAAAAGGGTACAAAATTTTTTGTTACAGATGCACACTGGAGAACCAACTGATTTTCAGAAAGCTATCACAAGCAATCCAAAAAAATTCAAAAATATTTACATAAAATTAAGTAACACTTTCAGCAGGAAATGACACTAGAGAACTTGTAAGTCAGATCCAATCAATATCCTGTGATCTTAGGAAAATCTGAACCAGGCTTATTCCACTAATCCATGGAAATAAAATGTCTTCGTTTTCTCAGATAGCTTCTATGTATACACATACACAATGCTTATTTACATTACATGTTTTTAAAAACACTCCCAAATTGAGAGTCACTATTGAGACAACTCAATAGTGGGAAATATTGACTATAAAGTAACTTCGATTCTAAAAATTTACAACATTTTCTGATAAATAGTAATTATAGTTAAGCCCTGTTTTCTTCTTTGACCTTAAGATACAGCCACCACAGAACTCAGAAGTTCTCTATGTGGAGGAAAAACAAAACAAAACAAACAAACAAACAAGCTCCAAAGCAAACCCACAGAAACAAAGCACAATAGGAAGGAATTATTCACATAGCCCAGGAACAGATAAATTTAAAGTAACTACTGTCTTGATGGTAGACGTGACTGCATAAATATTAAGTAATGCACAACAAAAGTAAATGTTTTTGTTCTGCTTTCAGAAAAGAACACATACAAAACCTTGCCCCCTCCAAAAACAATCACATTCATTTCTTATAAAGGAAATGTTTCCCGGGATAGAGATGGTAGGATAAGTGTTACTAAGACTTTGATGCCATTATCAGGCCTGGAGAGCCTGAACCGAGATCACTTCTCAAAAGCAGCCCGCAAGTTCACAGGTAAGTAATAGTTGGGTGCTCCCATTTACTAAAAATACCAGCAACTTCAGAATGACCATTATCTAAACAAAGTTCAAAGAGGAATCTGAATATATTGCTGCAAATACCAGCAAGACTCCTCTGCTTAGGCTGCTCTATGCTCTATTTTGTATCTCTAAGATTGAAGTTAGACATGTTCAGTTTGCTCTTCCCTGCTATTTCACTCATTAAAAGACCGATCAAAATATTTAGCAATATATGCCAATCAACACTGCGCTGATTCTTTCATTTTTTACTGATGACTGAATGAAGTTTACTACATTCTATAAAATAAGGTACATGAATCCTTTGCACGTCTGTAAAGAACCTGAACAGTTTTAAGATGTAATAAATCAAAGTGAAATTGTGTGCTGATGAGAGCATACATTCAAGACCATAAATACATAAAGCAGACGTTTTATTAGTCAAATAACTAAGTGCTATCATTTTAACAAGGTGTAATATGAAAATGCATTAAGTGTTTAACCCTGAGTAAGCACTAAGCTAGTAAATGGAACTTTCCACTACATATTACTGCAAAGCTCTCTGACTAGGAATAACAAAATACTCACACATTAAGCGTCATTAAGTTTCCACTATCCCTTTTTTTTTTCTTTTTTTAATGAAAGCATCTAAATATCTGTGAGCTAACTGTAAACCAGTCAAATTTGATCAGTAGTCACAAATGTGGTTTTCCATAAAGTAATTCTATTGAGTAGTTTGCTCTTAAGCCAGTGCAAGAGAATAACCATTTATTGATCATGTTTCAGCTCCCAGTGACTTGAAGTCTCTTTTAAAATGCAAGATACACTATACTTTTACTGTCCTTACTATTCAGACTAAGCTTGCTACAATTTCTTACAAATATTGCTGACTTTATGTAAAGGCAACTTATGAAACATTTGAGTCCTCAGTTAACAAGATCCGGGCATTTTGATAGGTATTTCCTTCAACAAACGTCAGAGAATGAAGTAATTGGTAAACCTATAACACCTTGCAAAAATAGTTTAAACCCACTTATCTTCCACAATATGAAGAGCCCTCCAGTTAAGTCAGTCAATCTGGCTAAACAAGAAAGGAGACTGAAACAGTACGAGAAGTGATAAATAAAAACTATCAAGAGCTGCAGAAAATGAAAAAATGCCCTCGTTAATCTATATTAATACTAGCTATGCGAGTAACCTTGGTCTTGCATTACACCAAACAAAGCAATAGTTACAGAAAGAGGAAACTACATTTCTCTCTCCAGCACAGGAAGGTAAGCATGTTCTCACAATGAGGACAAAACAAAGAATCTGTAAGTAAACAACACTGCACAGCCAACTTGAACAATGGCAAAGCTAAGCGAAAACAAATCCCTAGAAGAACTCAGTTTAGTAGTTAGATCATCATGAGAAAGCACAATCGAAGATAGTATTGCAAGGATTTTTTTTTTTTTTTTTTAATTTCACACTTATTGAGTTCATTCACCTGATAGAGTTCGTTTAAGAGGCAACAGTCGCTTCAATCAACCCAATCTTACATTTTTTAACCTGCACAATCTTTTAACCACAAACAGTCCCAATTCTGTTGTTAACTTTTAAAATAGTATGCAAATTGAAAATTTTGACTAATACAACAGCAGGTCTGATTTGATTGTAAATATTAACTGTAAGATACAGCCCGAATTTAACAGAGACTGCCAGTAACAAATCAGCAGATATGTCTACCTAAGTACTTCATAACATCTGTTTGAATTCAGCTCTCGTTTCTGCAGATCTTCCATGAGAGGATGACTGAAATGCTTTGGAAGTGTTTTACTGGCAAGAACAGATACAGGAAGACACTTAAGCATACCTCAATTCATTAACAAAATGTGGCAAGGTTACTTCTGGCAGGTCATTTACTTACCTCCACTTGCTGATTCTTGCTCTTCCCCTTCAGGAAACGTAGCCTGGCTTGGTAAGCTATTCCTAGAACGAGTGACTGACTCTAAATGTGAAGCCCTTCCCAGCAGAGATAGCTCATCTAGCACCTCTCCCTCTTTGGCTTCCAAATCAGATTTTGAAGTGGTTAACTGTTTTATGTTACCTGGTGTCATTAAACTATTTGGATCATTTAAGCAAGCTACAGTACCACTGTCCAGGCTTAGTACTCTGGCACGATTCTTGGCACTGTTTGTGCTAGAAGTCCGACGTGTAGATCGTTTTTTGCTAATTCCTTCAGAGCTCACGTGGGTTTTATGAATATTTTCAGAGTCTGCGCCCCCACGTTCTTTAGAAACATATTTGGTCTTTAGAGCACTGTACTTTCCCTCAGGAGACTGGCATGAATGGGATGTGGTGCTGGAAGAGCTATCACTGCTGAACTGATGAGCTGACTGCATACTTGACGTCCTGCTTAAGTCACTTTGATCACTGGAGTCCTCATCATGACAAAACACGGCACTGTGGGGTTTAGTACCAGATACACCTCGGAAGGAAACATATTCCCTGTGCCGACTTGAATCAAAACTACTAGCCCGCTTTTTTCCTGTCCGTCTCCGGCTGGACTTGTGGGTAGAGGCTGTTCGATGTATTAAGCTAGAAGATTTGGGTCGAACATCTCCTTCTTTTTGTTTTCCACTAGTTTCTTTAGAAGCTCTTGAGTCTAATAACAGAACTAGTTTCTCACTCTGCTCATCTCTTTGTTCAGCAGCCTTCCCAGGTGGCCTGTCAGCTTGCGTAGTCAGTTCATTGGCATGTGGGTTCTTATTGGCCTCTTCCGAAGCAGAGGCACTAAGACCCTTCTGACTGTGCATCTCATTGGATGCATTAGAACCCTTTAGCTCTTGAACACCACTAATAGAGGTCGCTTCCACAGCAGTCCTTTCACTACTAGTCCTTTTGTCAGTAGTAGAACTACTGTCATCCTCTGAGTCAACACCACAGTCTTTTTTCTTACCATCCTTTTTCTCTTCTCTAGGAGACTCCTCCTCATGCTCTGACAGCACACTTTCTATATGTGTAGAGCTGGTATGTTCACTTTTATAGCTACTGATGGTACTGTTAGTGTCACGATCAGTTCCACTGCAGTAGCTTTCTGTTGAACCACTGCTTCTAGTACTCAGGCTTCTCAGACTGTCCACACTTTTGTCTGCTTTCAAGGATTTGCTCTTCCCACTCTTAGCCAGTGGTTGAGGGCTGCTACTTTTCAGAATGTCATCCAACTGAAAAACTCCCGAAATGCAAGAGTTCTCAGCCAAGGACTCTCTGGATCCAGAAGGGGGCTTAGAAGCTTCTAACTCACTGACAGTATCTAGTCCTCGTCTTTGTTGATAAAGAGGGAAGTCATTCAGTGAAGCATCTGGAAAAGCAACAGCAGAGCTAGAAGTCCTTGGTACACCTCGTGGTCTGTGATCCTTTCTATAGGAGTGAGAATGCAGAGTTATAAGCGAAGCTACTTCTGAGTCACACGCACTAGTTTTAGACTGGTCCACAAGCTGATTGTTCGAGAGGCACAATTTATCACTGTTGTCTCGTGGCAAATCTTGTCCAGAGGATAGTGAAGGCTGGATGGAGACAAACGAGTCATTTGACACCAGACGAAAAAGCTTCCGATCAGTTGCCAAATCTGTTGAAGTAAATATTTATATGAGTATTTTACAAGAATATTTACAATTTATAGTTTATTTCTCAAATGCTTTTTAAAAACAAAATAAATCAACAAATGAATTTGCAAGGACAATGCTTTATATCACAATTAAAAAAAACTTGATGTCCAGACAAGTCTGACAGACACTATGTTTTTAAAAAAATTGTAAGCAGCAGCTAAATCTTAGTAGGTAATAAAAGACAACAAGAACTCCAACTAGCCCACAACCTCTTTTCTTGCTCAATGTGTCTCAAGGTTTATACATATTCCCCTGACTGCTTTCTGTCCCACCTTCTGCAGGCAGTAAACTATTTCACAAAAATCTTTGCTGATTAAAGAAAATAACTCCCCTCAGCTCTGAAGGTAGCAAAAAAAAAACAAAAAATACATACCGCACCTAACACATACCTTGTAAACTTGTGGATTGTATCAAAATCATAACAGAACTCTTTAGGAAGTTACTGAGATTAATTCAGACTACGCTGAATTATGGTTTTATAAATAGAACAAGTATTGCATGCTCTTTCAAAACCGATATCCTACTTCTAACATTGGCTCTGTGAAAGCAAGTCCCAAGGATCTGCTATCATCTCTTGCTCAGGATGACTGTTTCCATTACCCATCACAAACTTTCTCCTGTACAAGGGTCCACCTGGAGGTAACGCTGAGAATCAGGCTATTTTCCTTTACATTTTGTAATAAATAAATAAATAAATACATACATACAAATCTGGAGATCAGATTAAGTTACTACAATTGTTAATTTTTGGAAAGGTTTATAGCCACATGTAAATTAGAAGATTTAGCAAACAGTTCCATTATGAAGTGGAAGGAAGCTGCCTATTACAACAGCACTGTAGCCTGTGATGCGACATCTTAGATATACTTTCTGCACTGAATCACAGTCATCACTGAATACATTTAAGGACTCTAACAGACAAATTAGACCTGCCAAATTGAATTACGCTACTTTTTGAGTTAACTTCCTGTTAATCATCAGATACTTTAAAAAATCAGGAAACAAAAGATTTCCCTATGGTGCTATGCTCTATTTTATTTTATTTTGAGAAGATTTTTTTTTTCCTGGCAACAAAGCTAAATGAAAAATGAAGTCTGAAACAAAACTGGAAGAATGAAGAATGCAAGCTAGCATTTTCCTTACAGATTAGGAAAAAGCAACTACAGGAATTGTGTTAGCTCAAGTACTGGAAGAAGTCCTTAGCACAGAAAAACCATTCTGTGCACACCTATTTACTTTACAGAATAGCACACCTATTTAGAAAACATCTTTGGGCTGTAATGGGAAGCAGAGCAAATTAGTCAACGATGAAGTCCCTGAATTCCACATCATTTTCAGCATAACAAACTACTTAACAGACACAAAATCTAGTTATCCTTCAGCAGCAAAGAGAACGCAGTAAATATTTATCACCTGCTGGAAAATGCAAGAACAGGAAACATGCAACCCAAGAATAAAGATAGAAGGATTCAAGCTATGCATCCCAGGAACTTTAAGTAATTAAGAAAAGAAACAGAGAACTTCAAGATAAAGTTTTTTAGATTCTATCAAGAAACTGCATGAATGTATTTAGCCCGTTTAGCAAAGGGTCACTGTAACAGAACACCATGTTTAATATGCAGGAAAAAGAAATTTTACCTTGTTCTTCACTCCCTTCTTTACATAGGCTAGAACTCTGTCCAAGACTTAAACTGATATCATCAGAGGTCTTGGCAGTGTCAGTATCTCCTGTAAATATTAAGAAAGAACAGTACTAGTGCTGAAAATATTAACACACACATCTACATGCACAGAAGATTCCTCATCTGTCACAAATCACAGAATTGTAGGGGTTGGAAGGGACCTCCAGAGATCATTGAGTCCAACCCCCCTGCCAAGGCAGGTTCCCTACACCAGGTAAACAGGTAACACTACAAAGCTTGTTACCCTTATTTCCTTGCACAAAGGCAGACAATGCTAGTTGCATGTTACACAAGATTTAAGCTTTTCTTTTTGAGGTATATATTGCCTACATACCTACTTTGTGCATAAGAATGTTTTCATTCAACTACACAGATCTCCCACAGAAGACCTGCAAAACTATCTTAAAACCCAATGAAATTGATTTTTTTTAATATAATTAGAGATATATGCACTTGAACGTTACATTTTGCAAATGGTTGCCAATAAAAATGATGGGTAGGTTGTAATGAAATATTTGTAAATATTAAAAATGGACAAAGAAAAAAGTGAGGAAGGTAGAAAAAAATCAGTTTTTGTATTATCAGCTTAGTAAGTATACAAAATAGCAACTTTCCATATCACAAATAATTCATCTCCTCCCTGCCAGCGGAGTTTACAATGGCTGTCCTACACAATACTTTTGCTTGATACTAAGTAACCATAAATACTCAAGTCACTGAAACTAGGTACCAGAAGAGACCCTGGTTAAAACAGGATTCAAAATCAAATAAGTGAAAGTCCACTCAAACTAGTCCCTCAGCTCAGCAATTAAAAAAATAACAGATGGTGTACAGAAAACGTAGCACATGCTCCAAGATGCACTCTCTGAATGTTTTAGACACATCACTTCCAGCTGTCAGGTGGATTTCCTCCCATCAGTAAATTATGTCACCAAAAAGTTTTTAAGATGAAGTATTTGGAAACAGCATAGTGAGCAATATTTTTAGATTAAAATGCTTCCACAATGTAATTTTTAGAAGCAGCTGAAAATCTCACCTTTGATTGTTGCTGCTGTTCCCAGACGAGATAATCCAGATCCAACCTAGAAACAGGGAATTTTGTAAAAAGCTGTAGGATTACAGGAATTAGCCAACTGTATTTTTTGTTACTGCAAAGCACGCATTTGCCTAAACATCTAAGGGATATTTTTAAAGACAATACCACAGCACTGTAAAGTCATTTCTATTATTAATTATGCATCCAGTTACACTGCTATTTCTTTGTTTTATGGCCAACACACTCAGGCATTCTACTCCATTGATTTTAAAAACCACTGCTTATAATCTGGACATTTTCCTTGAAAATACCTCATGGGGAAAACGAACTGCTACTGTGGTGATCCACTAATAACTGCTGCCATAAAGCTGTACGTTCAATGCAGTACCAGTGGGTGCCTAAAATGTTTAAGGGAAACACTACGTTAATATAAAAATTCTGTTCAACTTAGTAAATACCAAGCTAAATCCAGAAGTTGTTTGCTTTGGAAGAGATGCACACTTTCAGCAGGGTTAGATTTGAGGTCTATCAGAGAGTTGATTCAATGATTAGAAAACCACAAGGACATTACGTGTTAGAACAGGGGAAGTGGCAGTAGCACACTTCCCCTTGGGTGATGTGCTGAATAAGCTTAGATCAATTTAACCTAATCATTGGCATGGAGCTGTTGAAGCAGGTCCAGAGGAGACCACAAAGATGCTCACAGCATTGTAGTAGCACTCCTACAAAGAAAGGCGGAGGGAATTGGGCTTGCTCGTCACAGAGAAAGCTCTTGGGAGATCTCAGTCCAGCCTTCCAGTACTTAAAGGGAGCATATAAACAAGATGAAGACTGACCTTTTACATGGTCTGATAGTGAATGGGACAAGGGGAAATGATTTTAAACTAAGAGAGGGGAGATTAGGTTAGACGTCAGGAGAAAATTGTCTACTCAGATGGCAGTGAGGCACTGGCACAGGCTGTCCTAGAAGCTGTGTGCACCCCATCCCTAGCTGCGTTCAAGGACAGCTTGGTGGAGCCCTGAGCAGCCTGATCTAGTGGGTGGCAACCCTGCCCACAACAGGGGTTTGGAAGTAGATGATCTTTAAGGTCCCTTCCAACCCTAGCTACTCTATGACTCCATGATTTTCCTTTATCTTATTCTTCCTCTTGTTCCTGCTAGTGAAATTTTTCTTTTAATAGCAGTTTGATTACATAGACTACAATCATCCCAAAGCAAGTAAATTGCAGTATTTCTTGAGCTATTTTTAGATACTAGCTACAATCATATTCCAAGTTTTATTTAATATCTATTTTCAGTCATGTACAATGGCCAACTAGCATACATCCCTCCTCATTTAAGAGCTTGATAGCCACTTAGGATTAGTCTGCCTTTTTATGTATGTTCTGTAACCTCTAGCAAATGTTTTGATGAGATGTTGCAGAGAATTTAGGCTTTCCTTTAGTAATATTTCCACCATCACCTCCCTCAAAAAACTCACAAAAAACAGCATGATTTACAGATAATTAAATCTCTCAGAAACGGGGTAGGCGAAGGGCATTCAAAGGCAAAATATGAACTTGAGAGATTTAAGAAAAGAAAGATAGCAACCATGCTTTATTGTATAATTTAAATGACTCAAAAAAAAAAAAAAGTATAATTCTACTAATTCCCTTCTGTAAGTATAGCAAATCTAACATTCTCTGAACACACATGCAGATTTTATCCCGTCAGACTACAGCATAACTGCTTTGCTACAAAAAAGCAAAGCTTGTTTAATTCATTTTCTTCACTACACTGTCAAGCACACTTTTGTCAGTCATCTTGCAATTTTTCAAGTTTTTTTTTCTTTTGACCTTCAATAATACGCTCTGCCTACAGATGCTGTAGCTGAATGCAAATGTATCAGCAAGAGAAAACTGAAAAGAACTCAGTTGCTTACTGTACACTTACCCCGCTGATGCCTCAAATTCAATTACAGGCAACTAGCAAGCACTAATTTTTATCTGTAGTTTCAACTGCAGCATTATGTTGGTTATTATGGTATCCGCAATAAAACAAGCAGCAAAGAGCATGGAGCTCCTTCACATGCTTTAACATTACAACAGTTTGGTGTGGAAAATGCTCTTCAAAAAAAGGCCTCTCAAAGAAACAAGAGCCCTGGTCTACTAAACTACTCCTACATGGACCATTGCTTCCTATTCCTTGAACACTACAAACCCTATCTATGCCGCATAATGAAACATTATGCAGCAAAAACACCAACATAATATTGCACTACTTTATACGCTGCTGACCAACAGAGCTAATCGGATGGACTTGTTATAATACCAAGACAAGGATTTCCCCTCCATCCAAAAATAGCTTCTGTATCCTTAAGAGAATGCTGCAGTGCTCTCTGGCAACATAACCTTACAGTCAGGACAGTCAGATCTGTTCATCCTCTGATAAGGTAAAAGAAGGATGCCATGACTGGCTAATAGTCACAAGCTAAATGAAAGGAACAGCACATACAGCACTGTAAAAGTCGAACGCAGCAGACGTAATAAAGGAACAGAACAGCTTCCCAGTGAAACTACAAAATGAAATGAGTACAATCCAAAAAAGGCAAGTTCTTCAGCCCTTCCATCTGGAATACAGCAGCCCATATTTAGTGCCTTCTTCCTGCTCCTGCTGAGGCATCAAAATTGGGAAGATTTTGCAGAGGTAATCTAAAGATTAACAGTTTTATTATTTCTATTTCAACTATCTTTGTACTCCAGCAAATTAACTTTTTTTTTTTTTTTTTTTTAATGCAGAGTCTGAATCATCAGAAATAATGATGTTCAAAACGTCATTTAGCACAGCAAGAGATAGTGGTGGATACATCCTAAGAAGAGTTAACAGAAGCCTCCTCAAAATTAATACAACTGAAGTTTATCAATCAAGTGTCTAAATGACACATATCAAACAATTAGTTTGTGCCATGACTTCGTAGCTGTGTTCTATCTAATGGCACACTGGTACAAAAGGGAAGACAAAAGCCTATGACAGCAGGTCTTAGTATTTATCTGACCATGTTCTGAGCCATCTTCCTAACTCAGAAGAAAGCAAGCTGAGCAGAAATTGAATACTTCCTGCTGGGACAGTAGTTTGCCTCATAAAAGCCAGCTGTTCTTAGAACACAAGACTGGATGAGCAGGAATCAAACAGCTTGTGCAACACCATCCCAAACAAAGCAGTTAAATACAACAGGCAGATAAGCTGCTGATCTTAGTACAATCAAAAAAATGATACTAAAAATAAATAAAAATCAGCAATGAGTACTGGTCACAAAGCCAGCAGCAACAACTGCAAATGCTTTAATTCTCACCTGGTTGTTTGGATCTATTCCAGCATAAGAATTGCGTGAACTACAGCCAACAGGGGGAGTGGCTTCTCGAATGAACTCTGACATCTCAATTCCTCCACCAGGGTCACTAAGAGAAAGATTAAAAATAATTAACCTACCAGTTAAACACATAAAATGTCTGACTATGCTGAGTCCAGATTTAACAACATTTTCTTGCTTATCAAAATTCATAAGCTCAAGCATATCCCAGTATCTCAGACAAAAACTGCTCATGTGATGCAGAAAACTGAGGTGTAACTGGAGCATCCCATACACTAGTACAGAAGCTGCTTGCCTTGCAACTTAACTGTCACTGGCCAGCACAAAGTATGAAGAGTTAGGAACCTTAAGGGATTCTGAAATGCTGGCATATGAAATTTTCCCTGCAAGTGAACACAGGTGTATAACTTTTGGAACATCTGTCAGCTGAAACATACAGAAATCAACCGACAGAAAAAGCACTCAGTAACAATCTTTCTAAAAGCAGGGGAAGAACTCAATTTGAAGTCATTTGCTGTTACACAGATCAAAAAGTTCTCCTTAAGTTGTACCTAGGAGCAAAATTAAGTATGGGTTAAACAAGTAGCCACATATCATCACTGAAAGCTATTGGAAAGGCAGGAAGATAAAGCCCTAGAGGACTTTGCCATTGTCAGACACCAAATCATTACTTATGTAGGTCACTCTAAAATTAATGCCACCTATTAATTTCCATGGGAACTACAACAATGCTATTTGGTACTGAAATTTCACAGCTACAAAACACTCTTTTTCAGTGTTTTCTCCACCATGAGCTATGCCTTCTCACCTGCAACAAACAAGAGCATACATGCCAGACTCAAACATCTGCATCAGCAGAGGTGACCCACCGTCACTCCTGTTGAAACATACCACCCACTGCCTCACTGTGTTCACACCCACTGTTTGGTCTCCATAAACATCCATCAAGAGTTGATTAATGTCAGTGGGTGCATTTTTTCCACAGGGAGGAATTCAATGCCACACCTTTACTTCAGACACACTTCCATGTCAGGCACTGTTTTACCAGACTGCCCCTCTGCTGCCATCTGTTCACACGGCAACAAAACCTAACGGAATATTGGTAGGAAAGTTCAACCTCTTCAGTCGTATCACCAACAGCCATCTCTGATGTCGTGGGCCAATGTAATAAAATAGGAGGCATTACTTTTGGAGTAGTCCTCCTACCACAGAAGAACTTTTGTTCAGAAGGTTTACATGCCCTACTAAGATTTTAAGATGCAATACATATATTATAATACATATATTATAACACACATATTATAGCGTCCTAATGATTTCACCACTTCAAGATTAATAAATATTACTTTCAAAGTATGTTCTAGATCAACACCATCAAATCATAATTCACCATAGTTCAGCTTATTAAAGGCAGACATTTACAAAACAGAAATTGGCTGGTCTTGCAACAAGGCTGCTCCAGTATTTTGGTGGAGAAATGACACCTATTGCTCCATTTGGAATGAAAGTAAAGATACAATTCTGTTATCTGTGGAGAACGGGACAGAAATGGGCAGAAATACAGCAGGTCTGTCTTTATATGTATCTAGTCCCACACAGTCAGACCAACAACAACTTTTTTTAAAAAAGACAAGAATATCAAAGTAGGATATTATAAAGAATCTCTCAATAGGCTAACAGACCTGAAATATCCTTTATACAGTGGTATGATGTTTCCTGTTGTAATCTCACAGAGAGATAAATCACGCTGGGGTTCAGCTTCAGGAACCATTCCAAATCATACATGAGTCCCCTAATCACATACCTCTACAGACTGAACATTCCTTCATCAAAGGGATAACAAAATGTCTGAAGTAAGGAATATACTTCTTAAGTAAAAAATAGTCAGGTTAAGATTCAACCAGACATTAGTCAGCAGAACAATATGGTCCAACTCCTCAGCAAACTGAGAAGGTGCCACCATTTTGGTATAGCTCAGCAGCATGATATCAACATGTTGTAATTGCTTGTTGTTTACAAAGCTCTCTCTGACCTAATCTTATCAATAATGCTAAGGATGAATCAGTGGGAAAAAAAAAAATGCAGAATTCAGCTTCTTTAGTTTCCATCAGCTTTAGCCAAACATAGTATTCCCTACGTAAACATTTTTAGAATGCTTAAGGACATAATATAAAGTTAAGACTAAACTAAAAATCAACTCAATATTTAAGTTCAGCATACATTATGATGACAACTAGAGAAATAACAAATAATGCCTTTCAGAAAAAGATAAAGTTCTGTTCTTGTTTAAATAATTTATTCAGAAACCTTGCAAATGATTCAAGTACGTTCTGTGAAATAGGAAGAGTAAGTCAACAGGAATTAGCTTTCATGCATAGGTCTGGGGAGGAGGGCCAGGGTGGGGGAAGGAAGCAGTTTTGTTTTAAAATGAACCAGCAGATATCAGCACAAGTAACAATACGATTCAACAAAAGCCTATATAGCACTGCTGTGTTCTGAGGTAGCACTCAAACAAATGGATTATAACAAAAGCTTCTAACAAAACAACAATAAAAGTGTCTGCAGGAACAAGCAGGAAGTACAGACTTCCAGGCTTAACCACTGTATGCACAGAAGATTCTAAATGCTCTTGTAGCCCAGAGCCCTAGTAGTTGCTTGCTGCCATTACAGTATAGTATACTATAGATAGTAGCCATTTGTTCCTGCTACTAATTCCTACAACCAGTTTCTAACAGGTTGATGACTTCATAGCCCTGAGCAAGTGCTACAATTACCAGATTGCAAGTAACCAAAGAAACAGAAGTAACCAGACAAATTGAGAAGATGGAGTAAACTATGCCCAGCTACATGCCACCAAGACTGCAATAGAGGAGGCATCATTTAGAGGCACCTGCACATTTACTGTATGCAACTGTGAGCATGTCAGAGTCCAACTGAAAGTGTGAAGAGAATGCTAGCCTACAGGAATTCAGAAGTTTAATAACTGACTTAGGCTGATTAGCTAAAGAGGTCTGATGTTCAGACAATGACTTTCAGAGAGAATTTAGAACAGTTCTGACATCAGGACAAAGCAGAGGAAGGGTTTCATTCTTCATCTGTTGAACACCTTCCTTTGTCAGTAGACTATCTTTTTGCTTCCTTCTATCCTTCAGAGCCACTCAATTGTTCTTGAAGTACATATGATTTAGAAATACAGGAAGAACATCCTTTAGGAAGACATCATCTTCTGGTAAGCTGGGTAAGGGGTTAAAAACCCTCACCATTAACCTCCTCAATTTACTGGTTTCTGCTGGCACATAAGATAGCCCTGTAACAGGGCCAATTAAAGGCTGAGATTGGCCAGACTTGACCAGAAAACCGAGACCAGGCTAAAGGTAAAGTTACAGATGTAATAGGAGAAGGACCACAGCACGTATTGAAAATGACAGAACAGACCAATTTCAAGCATTAAGAGACTTCCTGTAAAGCTTAAAGTGGTAATTACAACTTCAAAAAAGTCAAACAACTCCAAGATCAAGAAGTCTGTCAGGCACAGAACTGCAAGGAGAAGAAATAGTATAAGTAAAGCAAGAGTTGTAGGCACCCCAACTTCTTTTTTTTTTTTTAATTTTCTTGCTCCACTTGTTTAAAGCAGACAGCGTGTGTTTCAAAGGCAGCAAATTAAGAAATCACATTCTCCTGATTTATATAGCAAAGTACAAGCAAAATTCAGCTCCCCCACATTGATGGGTATTGAGAATAGTGTCACCAGGTTAATGTCTTATCCTACTGTGAATCATAGCAGTCACTGACACAATAAAGAAGGCATTCATATTCCCAAAAGCAAGACTGCAAGTTAAATGTTTGAAAGTATGTACGTGGATCCACTGATACCTAACAGACTCCAGTACTACTCCTCCAGTGCAGGATTAGGAGTTCGTATTATTCCCATTATTTATTTGTTTTAATGAAACCTCACAAGAGGTAAAGCATAACTAACACCACCCTGTCATAAAAGTATGAAGTCAGAAATTGCATGAGAGGTGGACAGATCTACATGTGCAAAAAGCCTTATGCCCACTCTGTGCTACAAGAGCAGGATTAAAAACTAAACAAAACCCCACATACACACACTCATCAGAAAAGATTTTCTATTACTCTTCTGATTTAACTTAGTACACTAAAACCTTGCCCTGTATCTCCTCTACCGGTTTGAACATTACCCCAAAGTTCTTGGGAGCTTCTAGATAAAGATTAGAACATACTGCACATCCCATCCAAAAAGTAACTTTGTAATTTTTGCATTGACCTTGTTCCCAGTTCCAGTTAAGAGACCTGAGAGTGGGAACAAGGATCATATGAAAGTAAACGAAACTTCAGTCGGCAAGCAGTACACACGCCAAACTAACCTCAACATCTGAGCTCACAGATACTTATAATGTAGTAAATTGGCTCAGATCAACTGGTCCTCAGAAAAAACAGAACTTCTGAAACATCCATAAGTAATTCAGAATACCTGTACAAAGAAGTCCTTGCCAAGCCCTGACAACCCTTGTGAAAGCAAAACCTACACAGCTTAGAAACGAAGAAAAAAAGTCTACAGATCACATCTAACACATGCATTAGCAAGGCTGCACTTAAACAGAAAAGACCACTAGTTTACTTTCATGAATTTTGTTAAGCAGAAAAGGCATCCGTATACATTTAGGGTAGCACTACACCAAAACAGAACAATACAGTTTTAGCAAGAAGTGTGGTGATCTAAATGGAGTTACAATTAAAATCAGCAGGTTCAGTTACCAAACGCTGAATGGAAAGATGGTCAGGTTATAAAAGATTGATACAAGAAGTTACTGTATACTAGCTTTAAAGGAAATGAAGACAGATTTTGCTAATAATACTAAGCTGAGCACAGACACAGAAGAACATAAGACTCACTCTGTGGAAGCTACTCCATATGCACTAGGAAATTCTTTCACTTCCACCCCGAACATTTTAAACACCACTACATCAACCTTTAAGCATCCTGATACACAGAGTAAGAAGCTTCTTTCGATTACAGCTCCTTATAGCATGTGCCTCCATTTAGAAGTTTCAGGCTTTTGTGTTGGGTTGGTCTTTTTTTGTTTCCTTTTAAAAAATAAAGAAACACGGTATGACAGTATACCAATCCCTTCACTCTGAAAACAATTCATGAATAATAGCCAGAAACGCAAAGGAAAGAGAAAGGTCTTTAAAAAGCTAACAATTCAAGATTCATTTATTTCATGTAGTCTAACTCTTAAGAGGTCCTCAGTTACACGGAGCTTGGCGGAGGCTTTGATAATAGAGCTCGTAACACATACTGAGTTCAAACAGCCTTGTTGATGAGTGATCTTTTGCTCTTTTTTCCTCTGCATAGCCTGGTCAGAGAAGGGAAACCTCTTCTGATGATGGCAAAAGCCATCTGTTGGAAGTAATAATTTCCTATTGACAATACTTCAGAATCATCATCTTCACTAGTGAGCTGAACAGTTTCAGAATTCCAGTTTCACAGGACAGTGTTCTCCTGAATCAAGCCTACAACTAGAGTGAAGTATTGTATGTGACCAGCTTTGTAAAACTAAGCAAACTAAATTCAGATTTCAGACACTTCTTTTATCACTAAAAACTCAGTAAGTATTTGACAGCTAGATTTTTAAAAACATGTCTACTGATGAAATAATATTACTAGTTCTAGCTGTGTTCACCAAGCATTTAGCAACCTAAAGAGCACATATTTTCCACGTTGTTGTCTCAGTGCTTCCAACATCTTCCTTCAAAAAAAGAACCAGAAAGTTGACATAAAATCATTATTTCAAACTTGAAATGTAAAAAGGGCTTTTTTTTTTTTAAATTAGACTTAATCAGTCTTTCAAAAGTCACAGAAGTCAGCATCCATATTCTTCAGTGTTTATTTCATCCACCATTCCAGTTACACATCTGATAAAGACATAATTCTTCAACATTTCGAGCAGTACACAAACACTGACAGAGACCTTACCTGGGTCCATTGCTGTCTTTCCTCTTGGCTGAAACACTGCTTTGTTCTGTTTTTGCACCCCTGTCCATACGCTCATTGGCATTCCTCTCCACAATTTCTCCCTCATCCAGTGCCCTGTGCAAACGGTAGTTCACCATCTTCAAAACGATAAAGAGCGCTGCTATTACTGGGCAGTACACAGCTACTATCATCATGGAAGAAGGAAGGGCCTTTCAAAAGAAGAGCAGAAGAAGTGTTAGTGAACACAAGGTCAAATATTCATAAGAAGCATACTTACCAGCTACGCACCGTTTAACAATTTCCTTCATCCTGAAGATATTAACCTTTGTTTTCAGCAAGATTTGAGAAGCCATACACATTATACAGTCTAAACCTTGCATGGACATTATTAGCAGTCCAGCGAGATAAAAAAAGTTTGACTACAAAATACCAAAGCACCACAGCAGCATGCTAAGTAAACCTACGATTAGAGTTTGAAAAGCAAATTTAACTTTCTCTTTTTTTTTTTTTTCCTCCAGGCTTTTGGAATGTAATACTTAGATGAGAAGACTTAAAGCTAGCATGACTATTATATGACGATATTTCCAATTACATTTCATTCACACTTAAAGACTAAACCAAACACGGGTTAGATCCTGTTTTAAGATTAGTACACCAAACCAATTCCAGTTTTTTTGAAAGAAAAGAAAGTCAGTTTGACAGCATTGTAGATGAGAGAAAGTTACATAGACTAGATGTTTTGATTTAGCTTTGTCAGTTTCCAACAGCTACTCTTCCATGACAAAATACCTATCAGTCATGAAAGCTTAACTTCTCCTCACTCACATACAAAAAAGGTCAATTTACATTTGTGGCTCACACTGTTATGCAGCAGTCTACACTAGCCCACAGTATCACATCCTATAAGGGTTATTTATGCTAGACAGTTACATGCCCATAGAGAGACAGCCAATGCAGATATTTTGATGAGAATTTTTCAGTTGTGACAGAGGTGGACAAAAGCCAAATAAAAAGCCTCAGTTCTAAATTCAAGTTCTGAAACTCCTCTAAACTAACACCTCACATCCAGCTTTTGCCGAGACCCACGAGGCTTTTACAGACCAGTCATCTCAGCAACAGGTATTAAGTGAAGTCTGACCACTATGGCATACGAGTCAAACTTCCACTTCAAGGCTTTATCCCTTCTAATTCACCTTTTAGTTCTACTAATACTTTTGTCCAGTCACTAAACAAAATGAGATATTAACTCACAGTGTTCAGCCACAAATATACCAATTCCATCACCAAAACAAGAAGCTGGACACTCAAATACTGTTATATCATTGCCCTTTACCCAGCTGACAGCACAGTTTGAAATTCTAAGCATTCAGAAGTATATATACAGATGTGTGACAATCAGAATTAAGTAGCATTTGATATCCAGCACAAACATTAACTCAATAGATGAGAAGATTAAGTGAACTGCCTTATTAGGTTTCCTGTTGTGAGGCTAATTCCAGCTTGCTTCATACACCTAGTCACTCATGCTTTATAAACATTAGCAACAGAGGCATCTTCAAAGTTCCATGCATATCTTGCAGAAACAGAGAAACACAAGCAGAGAATAGGGCAGAAAGTCTCCTGTATTTATATAGAGCTACTTTTATCATTTTAAAGAGATCTGATTAAAACATTAAGATTCCTATATATTTAAGAGAATATTTGTCCTGAAAGAGCCATGAGTAATTTGAGCTCTGACTTAAGCAAAAACAGTTTGACTAGATCTCTGAATACAAAATACTGTACTAACAAAGGGGAATAAAACAATAAGAATTTCTTAATATTGTATCAATTAGGAACTTCAGTGGAAAACCCATCCCTAATCTGACTGTTCACATTCTGGCAGGAAGCAAAAACAATCAATCAGTACAATATTTCTTAAGCCAAATATATGAATGAGTCTAGAATCAATTAGAAGAGAGGTTACTTATTCTGATCTCTTCTCTTTAAGAGCTCAAGTTTAACCTACATTACACCCTCAAAAACAAGTCTGAATCTAACATACCATTTGAAGTAGGACAGGCATACAAAGTTGGGGTACGTTAACTTAGATTTCTGTCTGCTATCTTTCATGATCAGCTGGGCAAGACTAATGGATAGGGGAAAACTCACTTAACAAGCACCACCTCAGGAGAAGAAAGAGGAAACAATTTTAAATGCAGCATCAACAAGCAGCCAGGAGCCACGATGATAGTGACATCCATAAACCCTGGAGCAACACAAAGGTTTCCTCAAAAAAAAAAAAACCAATGCTTCTGAGAACTTGAGAGGCAGCAAGGTTCATGCAGGCACAGGCAAGCACATAAGCTCTGGCAAAATGTTTAAGCTTCCTGTACATGCTAAGCAGTCTGCTACCAAATCACAAACAGAGTTCAATTGGCCTCTCCTTTACAAGCACCCAGTGTTCTGAAGCCATTACTGCAATCAGTTTAACACTAAATGACAAAAGTACAGACATGTCTTTTACGGGCTAACTCTATTTGGAGAGCTCTTCAGTTTTTCCCCTCCATCCATCAGCAACTAAGTTACATACTGCATCCTGTTCACCCTGTGGAATGCAAGATCCACACGTTCTGTTGTGCAAAGCGGAGCTCTGAGAATAAGTTAGAAAAAAACAGAGAATGAACGTAGCTTGAATTAAACCCAACAAAGAATTAAACAGTACATTTTATCCCTCCTCACGTCCCTTTTCTACAGGATTGCAGAGAGCTAGGATTCATGCAACAAATTCGTATTTTTCATTCCTTGTGTTTATTCAGTCTTGCTCTTCTCTGGATAGGATTTTGGGAATAGAATAACTTTGAGCACGTCCAGCACACTCTACTGTACGATCATACCTTACATTAAGGTCTTATGCTGTGGTACATCAGTACTATCCATGGTGCCAGCAATTCATCTACATTCCAGCCTCAAGAAATACAGTGAATTCAAGCCAACCTAAACCACTGGTACCTTCTCTGTTCTACTTTGCCAAAACTTGGAAAAATTCAGCTTCTATGCAGGGTCTTTTCTCCCTGAGCCAAAACAAGTTAAAGTAACATTATTGATTGCATCAGGGTAGTTTTAGACAGGACATTAGGAACAAATTTCTTCATGGATAGGGTGGTCAAGCACTAGAACAGGCCGGCCAGGGAAGCAGGAGTCTCCATCCCTGGAGGTATTTAAGAGATGCCTGGATGCGGCACCAAGGGACACAGGTTAGTAATGGCCCTCGGTAGGTCAGGCTGACAGCTGACTTGATATTGAAGGTTTTTTCTAATTTAAATTATGCTATGATTCTATTGAGTTGCTCTTGACATTTTACCACATTTGAGGAGACCTGAGTAACTGAGTATCCTACACAATAACATCTTCAAGATTGTAATAGGAATGCTCAAGTCCTACAAATGAACAGCTAGGTCTCATTTCAGTTGTTTTCACAAGTAAGCAAGCACCATTTTTAATCAGGCCCAGACAAAAACCTTGTTAGAGCTTGTTTTCAGACCAGGTATAAAGCTGTAGCTGCAACAGCATTCCAGAGAATCTCTCATTTTACTGCACATCCCTACAGTCACTTCCATTAGCACCAAAAGAAAGAGCACACTGAACAGCACTAGTCACAAGTGAAGCTCTCGTAGGAGAGAAGAAAGAGCTAGACATGACCATACAGAATCTGCCTGCTTTAATTACATTCTGTTGAAAACATCAGTCACCCAATGTTTGAACAAGTCAAATAAATAACTAGACAAACTCCAAGCTAAAAGTATTTCCCTGTACCTTAAAGGGAAGTCACGTAGTATCATCAAAAACTCAAGGAGGAGAGGAATGGAGAAGATACAGACTTTCTACCACCTTTCCCTTTGAAGTTACTTTCAAAAATGTATACCTTTCAAGACAACGTGATATCCATACTATCTACATGAACTGATCTCAAAATAATCAGACTTATCAAGCCTGGCTATCTCTTCCTCACTTTTCTCCTATATAATAAAAAGTATTTACAGAAAGTAAAGAACTGCAGTCAGAACTTACTCTGAAGAACACTTATTCTAGACATTATTTGGGTATGTTCTTGAACTCAAATCACAAGTCTGCTTCACTACTGCCTCGTTATCGGTGAAAAGCATGGTTCTGCCCTCTGCAACAGACTGTGAGCTCCTATAACCAGCTGGACCAGTAGAAAGTTATCTTTAACTGGCAACCAGTGGTCTATCAGCATAGTTTTCCAAAACACTAGGGTATAATGCAAAGGAGGTTATAAGAGTTATAAAAGAAGTAAGAATAAACAAGTAGTGAACAAAGTAAGATACAGGAATGCAGTTACATCGTTTCTGCTAACTACTGGCCATAAGGCCATCTCAGCTGTATCAGGGCAGGAAACACTTAAGCACTCCTGAATTGCAGTCATCAACCTAGAACAGAAAAGAATCATAGAATCACCAAGGTAGGAAAATACTTCTAAAATCATCCAGTCCAACCATCCACCTATCGCCAATATTTCCCACTAAACCACGTCTCACAGTACAACATCTAAACATTTCTCCAACAGCTCCAGGGTTGGTGACTCCACATCTCCCTGGGCAGCCCATTCCAATGCCTAACCACTCTTCCAGAGAAGTATTTCCTAACATGCAACTTCCATCTCCCTGGTGCAATTTGAGGCCATTCCCTCAGGTCCTAATGCTAGTTACACGGGAGTAGAGGTGGACTCCCACTCCACCACAACCTCCCTGGAGGGTAGCTGTAGAGAGCAGTAAGGTCAGCTCAACTCTCCTCTTTTCCAGACTGAACAATCTAGTGGTCTAAGAAACATCAAACCATTAGCTATGGGACTTTAAAATATTCCCACTTAAACTGCAAAGATCTTGAGTCAGCATTTCAAATACAAAAGCAAGAGGAACCAGAGAAAATTTCACGTCATCATAGGTTGTGCTGCACATTTATGAAAAATTAAAGACACTTTCATGGATCTCTGGAAAGCTCTAGAGCTTTAGCTAGACATTACAAATATGATGAAGCTTCCCATTTGTTTTCAAAAGAGAGGTGTAGGTGTTAGCTGTTAAGAACATTCATACCAAAGTCTTTCAGTCCAAATCAGATTTTATGTCCTTGCATAAAAGTGACATCAATCAAGCTTCCAATCAACAGTAACAGTTGCCTTGTGAAACACTCTGAAGACCAAGCATATTGAAGTCAGTATTTATAGTATTGTATCAGAGAAGAAGAAAAGACTACCCAGGAACAGCAGGGCTAGTTCTGTCACCGTTGTTTGTTTATTAACAGCTAGGGCCCTTAAGAACTGCTGATATCTGGAAGCACGCTCAGTTACAAGTCACACAATATTTTGACAAAAACCTCAAGTGTATGAATGAAGCTTCTGGTAGCCAAGAAACTACGTGTAACTTAGAGCATCATGAGAAAAGTGGATTCTCAACATATATTTTAGTACTTAAATTTGGTTTAGGAAACAGTATCCGTCTCAGAAATTTCTCCTAAGAAGACTTACATGGAGCTATGTATTTATGACCTACTTCTGTAACTATGTACACAAAGCAGGAAATCGAAAACCTATTAAGTGAACTGTTGTGTAAATGAGTTTGACTTTGACAGACAAGCTCTGTAGGTACGAGCCCATCACCCCAAGCAAGGTACAGTCCTGGCTCCTCTTAACTCACTGGCAAAGTTCCCCTGCTGCCAGAGCCAAGACTTCATTCCCTTCTGCGCATGTGGTGGGGCTGAAGCAGCATTCCAACCGGGGGAAGCGCCTTGGCAGCCTCCTCTCTTCCCCTCCTCCTTGCAACAGTGATGCACAACACTGGCCTCTCGATTTAGGGTATCTTTGTTCCAACTTGACCACTATATTTTGCAATCCGGTTGTACAGTTTCCTCATGTTGTAGCATATTTGCTTTTCCTAGCTTGAGTTTTGAATTAGACTACAAAAAAAAAAAAAAAAAGGATTGGCTCTTATGACAGATATGCAGAATAAGCACAGTTGAGTCTGTTACTGAATACAACTATCAAAACAGGATAGATTCAACTACTCTAGAAAGCAGTATTTTTGCTTGTATGCTGCCAAGCCACAGATCCAAGAGTACACAGCTACACAGCTTCACTTAGGCATACATTTCTCCTTGACTTCTTGTTACCTACAGTTTCTCCCCAAACAGGCTAAGTGTACAGATACATATCAGAAACAGAAGTATCCTGATCTGCAATATGGATACTTACACACATATATCTGTGTCCTCCACCAATGATTCAGAGCCCACACTTTCACATACCCGTTCTCAGAAGGTAGACAGATCAGGGAGCAAGGAAGAAAGGCAAGCTGAATTTGACTGCTAATTTCTTCGACTGGTTTGCACCAAATGCTACACACATCAACCCTATAAGCAGTGGCATACGTATGCCAAGAAACACAGATACATGATACAGCTTCCTCACAAGGAGCACTACCAGATTCCATACTGAAGATACAGGATACACAGAAAAAAAGACTAGCAATGCTTGGTGCAATAAACCAAGTCTTTAAGCAATGAAGTGCACGTGAATTACCATATCCTAAAGAGACAGCTTCCCATTTTTGTTTGAAATTAAATACTTGGAAAAAAAAAGTGATCAGCTTACCATACGATTCATTTAGTCTTGAGAATCAGCTACAGGCAAAGTTTATAAGGGATCCCACTGTCTTTGTTACTTCAAAATGACTAACAAACACCTACACTTACTGCTACCCTAATGCATCAAATCAAGAATACGAACTTGGAATTTCTTACATGAAAAAGCTTCATACATAATGTAAAACCAATCAGCATTTTAACCCTTTATATATATTTTTTAATGGATGCCTGCCAGCAACAAGTCAATTGAAACTAGCTTAGAAACACCCCCCCCCCCCCCCCCCCCTGCAAACCAGTAAGTCACACTCAGAATTCATATTACAGTTACCTAAGACTTCTTAGTGAGTTCTGCTTATTTATCCATGTCCTACAGCCACTCAACATTTACACCTTTTTCTTCTGAAAAGAGCTTAAGAGATGCTAAAGAACTAAGATGACCATCACAGTTCTGCCTGTTTAGTTTATGTCTAGACAACACTTAAACTGCACAGGGTGGAAAAAGGGAAAACAGCCAAATATGATTCAATCTGCTTCAACTTGTGACTAATCTCCCTACTTATTCTCAGGGAAGTTGGCACTTGTTGCATCTTTAACTTGTCCTGAGCTATGAAGAAAGAGAACTTCTCTGCCCTCAACAAAACCTGATGCAGCTTGCTTTTGTCCATCTTTTTCCTTTACACAAGAAACACATTTAAGCAATACTGAAGTTTACCCTATAGCACAGGCAAATGAAGATTAACTGCTGCTTTAAGATCAGCAGGAGATTCAATGTAAGTTCATACTGATCAGCCAGCAGACCTACATACAATAAAAACCATACACCCCCTCCAATGCCTCTGTGTGTGCACCATATAGTTTACCTTCACGTGCAGCCTTCTCAGAGAGTGCTAATCAAATCAGCTATTCTGCCAAACTACAAGAGCATTATTTCTGAAAAAGAGATGATTTGGGACCAAAAGGACCCTCTTCTTCCCACCTGAAGTTTCCAGGTCTTTTTTTTGAGAGATTGGATCAGCTTAGTAGGAAGTTGTTGTCACATTAGTTTTAGAAGCAGTTCTCGTCAGCCTGCAGTTTCCTTACCAGCAGTATAAAGTTTTCAAACAAAAAGCCTCATAGCTACTGTTTCCAACACAGAAACGTGAATTAAGAGCTAAGCATAGAGGGCTGTGAATCTCTTCTTCTACAGCAACTATTTCTTAGTATGAAGCATCTCACATTGCCATTTTACAAACTGCTTTTTAGCCAAGTAAATGCCTCATCTAAGAGCTCTACATTTCTATGACTGCATTCATGCTGAGGTTTTTTCTCCAAGGTTTCATTCACTAATTCTCAATTTTTTCAAAAGCTCTTTGGTTGTCAAGAGCATTGAGACCAGGCAGACTTGCAAGCTACAAGACTGGTCACACCACACTTTGAATGATCACACTGTTCCTCTGAGAAATCTGAAGCAAAATATTTATACTCCATATGCTGCATATAACTTAAATGGAAAGAAAAGCACCGGCCAACAGGAAACTGCCTCCTTCTCTCACAACTGATCATACGTTTGCTGCATCTGTTCCAAGTCCAAATGTCAAGGGAACACCTAGGTTTAAAGGTCAGCATTATTTTTTTTTCAATAGCTTTGACCAAAGCGTCAGGTACGTCCAACACGGATTCTCCCAGACTGGCTTTCTAAAGTTTGGGTACAAGTGAAACGCCAAAGGAACTTTTCACCACGGTCCAGAGATAGTGCCAGCCAGCACACCGTGCTGCGGCTCGATAAACTTTTACGTAATGATCCTGAAGGCCATCCCTTCCCGCTATCGAAAGCGATGAGAGAAAGCGATAGGACCGTCAGCCAGAAATACAGGTTCTATCCGAGAGCTTTCACTGTAATCGGGCGTTTTCGGCGCTTCCAGGAGGCCAGCGGAGCCATGCCCACTTCAGAGATGAGGAAGGCGAAGCCGACGGAGCAGCGGCGGAGACGGAAGCGCGGCTGCCCCGCGCTTCCCGCACCCCCTCCCACCGCCACCCCCGGGCCCAGGCGCTCCGGGGCCGCCCGGTGGGGGCACACCGCGGCCGCGGGGCGGGCGGCACGGCGGGCAGGGGGCGCGCGTGCGGCGGCCCCGCGGTCCCTCCC